GGCGAAAAGTCGCCTCAGAAACGTGAAGGCAGCAGATGGTTTGCGCGGAGAGGCAAAGGGAAGAGCAATATGGCCACGGCGGATGCACGACCAAGAATGAGCGGGTCGCGCGATAGTCGCTTCGTCGAAGATGTGCAGCCTTGACGAATGGACTTATTTCCTGTACAGGTGGGTTCTATTCGAAATTATCTTAGTTTATTCAATATTTATAGCGGAAGGCTTTTGAAGGGTCCCTTCTCCTGACAGACTGGACATGTTTTCTATGGAATATATGCCCCAAACATCTACGGGCTTTTAGGTATAATTACTTACGATCTTTAATCCAATCATACACGGACGGGATTATGCGCACTGATTGCCTATATCTCACTTCATACTTGGTGATGCAATATGTTTTTTTATTTGAAAAAAAAGAATATCTGATGAGTTTTCACACTATCTCGTTTACTCGTAATGAGTATTGAGACCATCTCCCTCCGCTGGTTCGGCACCCATATCTATTCCCAACCCAACTGACGTAGTCACTGTCGTAGCTGGATGGAAACACTCTGCTCCACCGTCTGCTGGGGTTCTCTCAGTGAGCGTTACCCCAAGTGTCCGAAGACAATGGCTCTCTTTGGATGGACGGTACAAAGGTGCTCCGGGTGTAAGTGGAAAATTCCTCATCTTCAGCTCCGTCGGGCTCACGATCGGGTCAGGCGACGGCGCGCCCGGCGCATGGAGGCTGATGGATGCCGGTCGACGAGGCCCCATGCGAGGGCCCGGGAAAGCACTTTGTGTGACCGGACTGAACACGAGTTCAAAGTCAACTCCGGTTGCCTGCCCGGACTGCTGGAACGAGGATGCGCCGGGTGCATCGGTTGTACGCTGCGGCGGAGAGGTATGCGGCGTCACCGTGTACAACGACTGTGGTGGTGGTTGCGTGCCCAAAGTGGGCGATGGCGGCGTACTTGTGGTTATGCGCCCAAATTGCGCAGAACCGACGCCTGCCCGTGCGAGCTCCGGGGAAAATGGGAGCGCAGGCGATGATGGCAAAGATGGTGACACACTCGAGTGCGCCATTGGCAACTTGGTGATGTGGGTTGGAACTGTGTCGTTGCACACCCACTCACTTGCTGGTACGTCATTTCCCGCACAGACGATGCGAGACTGCGGTCGGAAGAGGTCTGCCGGCAGACCTAGCCCAATACCCTGATATGCAATCGTCCTGCGTGCCTGCGCCCTGACTTGGGCGTGCGCGAGCTTGGCTTCGAGCTCGGCCTTGTTCGGGCGATAAGGTGACGCAGGAGCGGATGCGGCCTGGGTGGACGAGAAAGGGCTGGGTTTGGTGGTAGAAAACGAATGTGAGATCCCGCCTGGACCAGCCAGGGGAAGAGCGCGCGAGAATGAAGTAGAAGCCATTTGGATATCAGGTGCACTGATGTGAAAGACTTTGAACTTATCTGACTGGCCTTGCTGTGTAGAGGGCGGCCTTTTATGCATATCTGAGCGGATTTGCCTGCAAACTGGACACTTATCCATGCACACAGCCTCGGCGACTGGAGCGGATATTCGGCCTTCAATGGACGGATATCATGAGTGGGTTTACATGCCTTGCATCTCATTAGTCATTTCTCTAATTCGTCATTGCTTGAGGATTAGACTTGCGAATTTAAAAACAAGCAAATCTCCATCAATCGAGGAGAAGATCACTATGTGTACATGCAGTATGTAGATTTCGCTTTCATCTTTTCAGGCGTCCTGAACTGCATTGAGATCTTGTAGAAAGCTGGTGGCGGATATCGTCTCACTGCTCGCTTTGATCCCAGTCGACGTCCCAATCACCTCGTGGTCTGGGCTTATGCTCGGCCCTAATGTGGCTACAGACGAATCTAGGTCTGCCGAGCCAATATGGGCGGTCCGCAGGGTTTGTGGAAGTACACTGCCGATAACAATGATAAGGCCTCCTGCTAGTTCTTCTCCTATTCATTTCTGAGAGACCATGCAGTCACAGCCCTGAGCTCAAGCTACGGCATTTCAATTCGAGCCATCAGTGAATGTACACTGGTACAGACGAGTTTGGGGTTTAGCAAAGCCAAGGATCAAGCAGAATTCAGAGGTGCACGACGGTCGTGCCCCCTCGGCTCAAGTGACCTTGTGTGATCATTCAATGGGAAGACCCGAAGCTTTTGTGCGGAGCTTGACCGCGTGTCAGCCGAGTTAGGTGAGTATTGAGACATCTTCATCAAATTTGTCCAGTTTTTTTGACTGCATCAGACAATACACCCTAGAACATGGAGTGATAAGGCGCGTCCACGGACCCTGCCGCAACGTCGCCCTAAGAACGCGCCCCATTGCAGATGCGCGGAAGCAGAAGGATCCAGCGTTGTCAAATGTAATACTGGATGCAAATGGACCTCGTTCGACAATGTGCTGTCTCTACGTATTAGGCACCTTACCATCGGACACTTTCCCCCACTGTTCATCATGTTTAGGTCTCTTATGTGGGTACAAGGGCCATCTGGTCATGACGAGGAAAGCCTCCTGCGAACACGAAACGCTCCTCTGACAAAACATGCGGACCAGATGGCACGCCTGCAAAGATTTATGATAATAGTCCTCACGCTCCTCTCAAGCGTAACGATACTCCCCATTATTGAAACATCACTTCAATCGCTATGGGCCAAAACGAGCACGCCCTCAACATTCTCTCAAATGCCGCCCCTTTATGGAGCTTATCACGACCATGAGTTAGAGGTTTCGCGTCAGAATGGGGACCCACAAGGCGCAAAATACCTGTATTTTGCTAATCATGCTCGCGGTGTGTGCTTCATACTCAGCCTTCAATGGTTGGAACGTTGAAGCTCTAGCCCTGTCAGGATTTGGATGGGGCTACAACATGCAGGAGCTCCTTCTCCATGCATACGTCGCGTACCGCACAAATAGGACGTATGTGCCCCCAGTAATTTACCTCTGCGTGATGGCTCAGAGCGGGTTATCCTAGCTTCGTCTGGTACAACTATACCTGGAACGATGACGGCTCCAAATGGACTTTGTATAATAACCAACCAATCCCTTCTCGCATACCTCTTTCTGCAATCCTCGATGGTAAGCACGCACCATTCAAATCGCCTTGCGTACGAGATGGGCTTTCCCTGACACAATCTGAGCGCAGGCCCGGCGGTTGGCGCGTCTGTCTTCACGGATGCTGGTGCCGCGCAGCCGGTAGGGATCGTGGAAGAGCACTTCTACAATATCTGCCCAGAATCGACAAGGAAGAAGATCCTAAATGAAGACATGATCGCCACGCTTGGGCGTGAGCCCACAGCCGACACCATCGTGAACGAATGGGTCAAGGTCCTCAGCGGTGCCAACGACAAATGCGTCGAGGTACCCCGTGACGCCCTACCAGTATTTGATATCCGGTAAGTTTGGTCGCGCCGTAAGTTTCCTAGCCCGGAACTAAACGCCTTCCAGGACGACGTTTTCCCCCGCGCGCTTGCTCGACGTATGGCCTGGATACTCGACGTCACCTCTCTTGCGCGAGTTTCGCTGGTCGCCACTTGTCGAGCTAGCTTTCGAGACGAATCTAGCACTCGTCGCGCCCAGCCTTGCGTCCGCGTCCACATCAAACCATACCCCGCAGTCTTTGCCTACCCCAGCTGACAGCTCTCCCATGCTAAGCGCATCGCGGTATACTCAGATTCCGGGGCTGCTCGTGCTCCATGCACGCCGGGGCGATTTTCAAAAACACTGCGAGAATCTCGCCCGTCTGTCTTTAGGCTTCAACGGCTTCAACTCGTTGCCCGAGCTCCCGGACAGGTTCGAAATTACCGAGGCCGACGAGGCCGAGCGCGTCAAGCGGTACCGCCCGCGGTGCTTCCAGAATATCGCGGAGATTGTTGCACGGGCGGAGCGTGCGCATGTGGAGGAGACATATGGTAGAGGGAGAGCGCTGAGGGACCTGCACGTCATGACAAACGGCCCGACGCCCTGGGTCGAGGAGCTGAAGGGGGCGCTTCGCGAGACGGGGCACTGGAGCAGCGTGACGAGCAGCAGGGATCTGGTCGTCAATGTGGAGCAGCGCTACGTGAAGCAGGCGGTGGATATGCTCATCGGGCAGCGGGCGCAGGTGTTCGTCGGAAACGGGGTGCGTGTCATCCGGCTCGCACTATCCGCTGCGTGCCACACAGTTGACTGATGCATCTTGTATTCCGCATTTGCACTTGGGCTGCTGCAGTTCTCCACCCTGTCGGGGCAGGTGACCATGTTGCGTATGGCAAATGGTGTCCCGGCCGACCAGAATCGAATGTTCTGAAAGTGACCGAGTGACTTGCTCTTTGCGCTTGTAGTACCTGGCAGCCATGGGTGTAGTTGGGGTCGGGTAAACTCGAGCTCCGGGTCCAAAGCATGCATTTGCGCTGGTGCGCGCTGCGATGTATATCTTCATTATGGTAAGAGATCCGTCATAGCTGGCTTGTAAAACGATCCAGTGCGGTCGGACGGCGTCAAAGGGGGCTGCCAGATAACCTGTGATTCAAAGCGACGATCGATGGTTGTAGTTGTAGGGAAAAGAGCAGTGACTATGTCGTCGATAGCAATTGCGGTGGACGCATACCTTCCTCTGCCGGAGTTGGTGGACACAGGGGCTGCTCAGGATGTTGCATTTAAATCCGCCCTACTTACCTCTAGCCTTATGCTCATTCATTTCGAAGATCAAAACTGTCGTGTACGAAAGCCTCGCAAGTGATGCAGCGGGTAATAAATTTCCATACATCCCGTCTCTGCAGGTAAAGTCGAACGATTGCGATGGGGACACGAATTGGATATCATCCCATGCGCCGATTTGTCGTCTACAGCCTGGACTCTGGCTTTGAAGATCACTTTTACCTCATGCCCCTATCCTCGTGATCCGAACGAGAAGGTACGAAGGGGACTGAGAGCGGATCACGAACGCAGCTGCGTTGCTAGCGGATGTCCCGCTGGTCAAAATAGACATTTACGGTACGCGGGATCAGCACACCGCGAAAACTCGCACTTCTCGAACTGCGGGACTGCGGGAGATCCTCGTGGAATCGACGCAAAGGCGGAGGGCGGAGACGGTTGTCTCTATCCGGGTGAGAAGTTGAGGGATTTAGCAGCCGCTCTGTATGACGAATTGACATAAGGTTGCCAACTTTCACTGTGAAGTATTTACTACTGATGGGCGAGAATGATGCGCACAGCCCCACGTACCGCCGGACGACTCATCTCGGGTAGTGCTCCCACTAGTAGATCCTGGCGGTAATCTGTCAGAATTGGAGCGGGACTGTTTGAGGAGCTTGCAAGATGAAGTTGCTCATACTTGAGGACAGGATCCAGAGCAGACCGACTCGCGCAGGATCCGGAGTGCGCTGGACCGTGCAAGTTGGGGTTGGGGGGATGCCGACATGCCGTACCGGGGCTGAGATCGATCGAAGGAGGCTGATCGTCTGCGCCAGCTACAGCCAGTCGCGCCAGCCTCCAGCTGCGGCCAGTGCCAATGTCAGTGCCAGCTCCGTCCCATGCGTCAGTGCCAGCCCACCTAGCGAATTTCCCCGCCTCCAGCCGCCGTCGCTCTCGCAGCCTCACCGGTACCACAATGCCATTGCCAGTGCGTCCTCCGCATTGGATAGCGCAGCGCAGCGGTGAGCACTGAGACGACGCAGCGGCTCAATCCGTCTACCTAGTCATGAGTCCCGCGCACCGCGGACCAACAGCCTCGCAGAGGGCGCCAGGTCCAGCAAAGCGCTGCTAGTCGCGCTGCGGGATCAGTTGGACTCGGTCCTCGTCGTTAAATACCGCTCGCCTTCGCCACTGCGCACATCCGACTCCATGCACCGTGCGCCATCATAGTACCATCTGCTCTGCCTCACATGCTCCGCATCGTTCTGCTCAGCGCCCGGCGCATATGGGCCCCCCGTGATTGCACTCTCGAGCTCCCGCGGTGGGGACCCGACCGCCCGGCGTGGCGCACTCGGCGAGGTGTCCGGGTCGCGCTCGTCCTGCTCGTCCTGCTGGTGATCGTCCCCCTCGCGCTCAGGGCGTCGTGGTCCCCGCGTCTGCGCGAAAAGGCGTGGGCCGTGTTCGGTGCACCCGCGGACTTGCCCCCGCTGTACGAGGCATACCACGACCACGAGCTCGACGTCTCGCGCCTTGCGGGGGACCCCCCGGGTGCAAAGTATCTCTACTTTGACAGCCATGTCCGCGGTGCGTAACGCGCGCTTCCTCTGCTGGTCGCCCATCTAAGTGTGCGCGACTCAGGCGTCGGCTGGGGAAATGCCATGCAAGAGCTCCTCCTCCACTCGTACCTCGCCTATCGCGCGGGGAGGACGTATGTGTCTCGGTGACGTCCCCGTGACCACCTGCTGATCGGACGCGCATAGCTTTGTCTGGTACAATTACACCTGGAGCGACGACGGGTCCAAGTGGTCATATTACAAAGGAAAGCCCATCCCCTCGCGCATCCCACTCTCCGCGCTGATCAACGGTATGCGGGGCTCGGCTCTGTTTCCTGCTCCGCCGTGAACGGTGACCCGCCTGACCTACTCTGTCCTGCAGGCCCGATAGTCGGCGGACCCGTCTTCACCGACGCGAACGCGCCGGCACCCGTGAGCATCGCCCAAGACCACTTCAACGACATCTGCCCAGAGTCCGCGCGGAAGACCATCAAAAACGACGACGTCATGGCCCTGCTGGGACACGAGTCCACCGCCGGATCGCTCGTCGAAAAGTGGGCCGAGGTGCTCAGCACCGTCGACGCCAAATGCGTCCAGGTGCCCCGCGACTCCTGGGCCGTCTTCGACATCTGGTGCGCGCCCCGCTCCCGCCCCCACCGCGCGTGCAGCTGACCGGACCGCCCCCGCGCACAGGATCATGGGCGACAGGCGGCGCCTGCTCGACGTCTGGCCCGGCTACGCCGCCTCACCCGCCCTCCGCGAGTTCCGCTGGTCCCCGCTCGTCGAGCTCGCCTTCGACACGAACCTCGCGCTCATCTCGCCCCCCGCCGCGGCCGCGCA